TATATATATATATGTTTAAGTGCATTACCTGTCTACATCCTGTTCTTGCCTGTCTATAAGCTGTTCTCATTAAGACGAATACATTTACTACATTACTGCACAACCTGTCTACATTAAAGTTTATTCATTCTATCACTACTGTGCACCAGTCTATCACACTACTATTATCTATCTATCTATCTATCTATCAACCTTCTACGTTTCAGAAACAGTACCAGTCTATCACAGTACTATATTTTACATGTTATTGTATTTTATTATATTATATTTCATTCTTATATTATATCTATTTTGTGATATTGTTTCCATACATATTTGTACATCTTGATTCCCAGCGACTGCTTCTCTGGAGTTGTTGTGCATGTGACAAATTAAGAACTTTAAACTTGTTGGTTTACTAAACTCACTTACTTAGATATGAATCCTGTACACGTTTCTTTAATTTGCTTTATTATTCAAGATAATGAGGTGTCTGCTTTAGACATTTATTTATTTGGGTTTCTATTTGTAACACCAGAACCTCGTTTCTTTCTTTCAGTTTTTCCCAAAACCGAAGGCTCCAAAAGGTTACTATATCTACGGTGATGTTGGTAAGAGAGATTGGCCCCAAAGTTACAAATATATAAAAAATGTTAAATGTTTTTTTCCCCCTTAAGTCACATGCTCTATGTTTTGTTTCAGGCACAGGAAAAACTATGGTGATGGACATGTTCTATTCATACGTTGAGACTGAAAAGAAAAAGAGGGTTCATTTCCACGGCTTCATGTTGGACGTGCATAAAAGTGAGTACTCTTAATGATAATATTCATCATTGTAATAGTTGACTTTATCTGCTCCTAACAGCCACAAGGGGGCAAATTATTCTTCAAGCTTTTGAGTGAAGCCACAAAACCTGAACCAGATTTCCATAAACACATGTGTTGTATCTTTGTAATCATTTGGTGTCGATGGCTTTTGTTTTTATGAGGAGAGGAACTATCAACCCACGCACCTTGTTTCTTTATTCCTTTCGTCCTTGAGCAGCTTTTCAAACATGACATTTAGCATAAATGTCATGTTTCCTTATTAATAAAATGTTTGTGTTTGATGCTACAAGTTGAAAATGATTTTGGTGTATTTTACATATATATTACCATCAGCTTTAACTTCATATGTAACCTGTGTTACCAGTAAGGAAATCAAGCCTCCACACTGTGCTATGCACTGTCAGCATCTCATCCCCAGAGTTTCAGGTGACATGTCTTTGCTGGTGTGAGATGAATTCTTCTCAACTCGCTACATTCAAAGTCTGCAGAGCAAGTCGGCGCTGGCTGTGGTTGCTGAACTTTGCTTATATTTCCTGTTTTTGCCGCCACATTTTGGTTTTGTTACATTTATAGCACTGCTTATATATATATATCCATGCTGCTGACAAAGCACTCTAAATGGGTCCAGTAAAAGTCTCGAGTGTTATTCTTTTAGAAAGGAAAAAGTAACTTTAAAAATATATAACTAACTCTCACTCTGTTGTTATTGTAAAAATATATAAATTCATTACACCACTTTAACAACTTCAGTTTCTCTCCAAACTAAAAAGTACAGACGTTACATTTTGTTCAAAAGTGGTGGTTTGCGTTTGCCACTTACTGTGAGCTTTAGCTCAGCAGGTTCTAGCCTTCGTGTGTATTCATTTGTACTTGTGCTCACCCGGGCGAGTCAAGAAGACTCATTTTTGCTCTCTTATTAAATTGTTTTTTAGGGATCCATCGACTGAAACAGAGCATGCCAAAGAGGAAAGCAGGTAAAATGGCCAAATCCTACGACCCCATTGCTCCAATTGCAGAGGAGGTCAGCGAGGAAGCTTGTCTCCTGTGCTTTGATGAGTTTCAGGTAATTTCTACAGGACGGAGACATTTAAAGGAGTCCCACAGTATTTGTTTTATGAATGTAACCTTTTACCTCAACAGTGTATTTCCATTGCTTTATCCAAAGTTAATTTATTTGCTACACACATTTCAGGTGACTGATATCGCCGATGCCATGATTCTCAAGCAGCTCTTTGAGAATCTGTTTCTGAACGGTGTTGTTGTTGTGGCCACTTCTAATCGTCCCCCTGAAGGTAAGTAACAACAGATCCGGAATATGTTTTCTGTCCGGCCAAATACCTTCAGAAACTCTTTTTGCTGCTCGACTTTAGCCCGTTTCCCACTGGACAAAAAAAAGCTCACGTACACCCACTAACATCTGGCTTTTGTTTGAGTGGGAAAGGTTACATTCAGCCTTCCTTCTTGGAACACATGACTCTGCATTAGTCAGAAGTATTTATCGGCTCCAGCAGCGAACTACAACTCATTAAATCAGTCTTCTGTCGGTCTGTCCATTGTGCCACCATCTCTGGTTTGAGCTTTTGGAAAAGAGACTGAATAAGTTACATATATAAGAAGAAAAAAAAGTAGACATTGTAAAAAATGTCGAAAATGAAATGCCAGAAAAACCCCCAGAAGGGCATACTCGTCTACTGTCAATGTGAAAGGAGTCTATCGTCGGGAAGTTGTATTGTAAGTCAGTATGTCAATACACCACGTGTGTCCTTGTTACCTCAGACTGACTTAGTGTGCTTCCAGATTCCTTCGGATGTCCTTAGCATGTTAACACAAATTTGACTGGATACAGTTAACTCCTTAAGATTTAAAATCTAACGTTGTGCACTCCTACACACCATTTTCAATGCACATGTTTTAATAACTTAATAAATTAAACACTCCCTTTTAAGTATTCAACAACTACAACATTTGGCAGGCGTGTCTTTGTTTTAAAGTCCCACTCGTTCCCCTCAGACTTGTATAAAAACGGGCTGCAGAGAGTCAACTTCGTGCCGTTTATTGCCGTGTTGCAGGTAAGAAAGCAGACATAAATCACATTTTTTTCTTTTTAATATAAATGTACCTGTTGTTAATTGTTTGTCTCTCACATGCAGAATTATTGCCAAACTCTCCGCCTGGATTCTGGGATAGATTACCGCAGAAGGAACAAACCATCTGCTGGAAAACTCTACTTCCTGTGAGAAATCCATCAAGTCAAACAGTCAGTCGATGTCAGCTATGGTTTGATCTGTTGTCTGCATGTTTTGTGTTTTTAATGTTACATTTACTGCAGCTCCAGTGAGCCTGATGGAGAAGCAAAGCTGGACAAGATGTTTGATGAGCTGGCTTTTAAGCAAAATGACAGTAAGTGGACGTATGACTGAAGTCTACAGCTGAAGTGTAATCACTGTATTTGTATTACCACAGAAAGTACACTCTTGATGTACTTATATACCGTTTCTCTCCGCAGTAACACGACCAAGAGTTCTGAATGTTAACAACAGGAAAGTGCGTCTGAACAAAGCATGTGGGACCATTGCAGACTGCACGTTTGAGGAGCTGTGTGATAGAGTAAGTCTCTCAGACGTTTGTGTTCTTTAATATACACATTATGCGATGTGCATCAGTCTTGACTTCTTTCAGTCTTTCAGTGGATAAACGCTACAATGATGTTAGTTTATCACAATTTGTTTCTTGGTTTTGCATTTTTTTATCAGACCAATCAAGTTTTTGCTCATTGTTGTTGTTTTGAATGTCCATTATTAAATATTGAGTTGCATGCTGGGCGACCTGATAGCTGAGTGGTTAGGAGGCCTACCACAGAGGAGCAGATGCCTTGAGCAGTGAATGTCTGTTTGGATTCCCTGCTGGCTGCATGTCATTCCTCTTCTCTCTCTTCCCCCACATTTCCTGTCTCTCTCCACGATCGGTTAAATGCATGAAAAGCCCCATCTTCTTCTTCATCTTCTTCATCTTCTTCAAAGAAAGGCATGTGAACATGAGAATCAAAGCAGCGTTCATAATGGACAAACTATTAAGGTTTTGCCAGGAATTTCAGATCGATGGTGAAAACTTACAAATGTCTTTTCTGCATCAGAGCTGGATTGCTACGACATTCTGTGTAATCCATCTTTATGCCTTTTTAAGGAGTCGTTTAAAAAGCATTATCTCTGTCTGCCTCAGAGTCAAAACTCCACACTATATGGTAGTGTCGATATATCATGATAGCCCTGTATGAGATTTAATAACAGAAACAATTTAACTGAGGCACTGTTGCATAAAATAGAAAAATCCAGGTTTATGGCTTTATACACCTTTCCTTGTATTTCAGCCTATTTGGAGTCTTTTGAAACCTGAATTTTAAACAAAGTTAAACTGGTTTGAACAGTTCCTGTTTTTAAATGATTGACTCTTTGGCGGCTGAAGCGATCCAAAGAAATGGACAAATAAACACAAAGACGTAAAGCTACAGGTTTCTAGTAAACAAGCATCTTCAGACAAAGTGTGGCTTTAAAACATAGAATGTAAATGTTTCAGCCTGTAGGGGCCAGTGACTACCTGGAGATATCCAGGCTGTTCGACACCGTCTTCATCCGACACATTCCTCTGCTGACACTGAACAAGAAAACTCAAGCCAGGCGGCTCATAACGCTCGTGGATGCCCTCTACGACCACAAGGTGAAGCGCTTATTTACCTTCACTGAAACACCAAACCCGTTGCTATTTGGTTTATAATAAGTGTGTCTCGTTTCAGGTGCGGGTGGTGATTCTTGCCGATCATCCACTGGATGGTATTTTTGTACACCATGGTGAGCACGGCCATGACGAGAGCCACATTCTGATGGACGATCTGGGGCTGAAGAGGGTGAGAGAGCGCCAACTCTGTGTTCGAAACTAAACCCGTTTTTTTTCATGTTGGGTGTGGACTTTTAGTCGTAAAGTAGATGATTAATCCGGCTGAGGCCGTTGGCCGTCAGTGAACGTAGATTAAAACACAAAGCTGAAGTTAGTCAGTGAAAAACCGTCTTAAGCACTACTTCAGCCTTTACTTATTCAATCTCAAATCAAGTAAGCCGTCCTCTAAATGTACAACTTTAACAATGGAAATCAGTCATTTCTATACTGCATCTAGTTTTGTTTTGGCATTAGAGTATACGTAGTGATGAACAATAGTGGGCTACATGGGTCAGATTATTTAAAGAGAATGTATTGAAAAAGAGAAATGTTCCAAAATATCTGTCAACGTTACGTAAACCAGGAATCCACAGATTTTCCTTTACGCCAAATTTCATTGAAATCTCTTAAATTTTGGGGATATTCTGCTAAATAACTAACAAACAAACAAACAGGAATAAAAATATAACTTTTATACTAGCAAGCGCCATTTTGTTGATACTGTAGCGCAACGATTGCCTCATATTAACTTGTTTCATGATGCTGGTACTTTGTTTTTCAAAAGGATGGTTTCTAGCGTATATACGTTTATTAAGTTTTCAATTTTTTAATTTCAGCTGTAAATATCAACAAAATTTTGTATCAACAAAATGGCGCTTGCTAGTATAAAAGTCAAATTAAATGTTGAGGGTCCACTTGCCGACCTTTGTTGCATATCTCTCTCCCGCATTTCCTGTTGTCTTTCTGCTAACTCTAATAAAGGAATAAAATGTCCCACAAAACATTTCTTTTTTTTAAATGAAATGTTTCTTCAGAATCAGAAACATATCAAGGGAAGATTTTAAATGTAAAGATAAATAACTAATATTTGTGTAACGACTGCATTTAAAGGGATTTTTCTGTCCTGTGTTAGCTAATAAAAAGCCATTTGATTGAGTTGAGGAAGTGCACATCACCACAAGAACTCAGCATCTGGAGTTCCACTAAACTATTGAATTGTTCAACAGGATGAAGCCAGCAGTCTGTCCATCTTCAGTGGAGAGGAGGAGATGTTTGCCTTCCAGAGGACCGTGTCTCGCCTCACAGAGATGCAGACAGAAGAATATTGGTTGGAAGGAGACCGAAGCACTAAATCACAAGTGTAACGTTTTTTAAAAAGTGGACCGTGTTACGCAACCTCCATAAACTGTACTCCTCTCTGAAAAACAGAGAACACTACTCCTACTCATCTTCTCCAGCACAAACCCAGCGGGACCGCTCAACAGTATGTGTGCAAATGTTGGTACAGGGGATATTTATTGAAATCTTAAGGCCTTTTATGACTTTATTGCGCCATTGCACTTTCCGGATGAGTTTTAATATAAACTTTAGGGTGTCATATTGCTTTTAACTTTTAATTTATATAGTGGTCCAATTGTATTTCCTTTTTTGTATTTCCCACAGATTTTTATAAATCTGTGGGAAAGAGCTGGACAGCTTCTGGAAATGGATTCCCACAGGACTTTTATGAAGATTTAAGGGACATATTAATCCGGTCTCTTTTGAAAATATAAAGCATCTCAATGAGTCGTTTATGATTCTTCTGCAAGCCTGAATACAGTGGCAGCAGATTGATTCACAAGATTAAAAGCCGTGTTTATTTCTGATGATTTATGTGGACGGTGCTCGTGAAGAATATTTCACGATACTCTGAACAATAACGTTTGACGTTTTCATTTGGTGGTTTAAAAGGAAACAGAACATGTGTCACAGGAAGTGTTTTAGTGCATACTTGACGTCCAGGTCTCTATATTATGTTTCCATCTTCATAAATGAAGCAAACAACGGTTTAAGTGTTGGAGTTGGTTGATGTTTAACTGCCTTCTTTCATGAATTTGTTTTGTTTAGTCCTTAACACACACAGAAACAAAGAAGCAGTGGACGGGAAAGTTTATCCGCTCTACAAACAAAGTGTTGTTGAAACCGACAGACAGTTGGTGGTATTTAATTTAGTGGAATCTGCGTTAGTTTGTGCAGAAAGAAAATCTTAAGACTTTTTAAAGCTGTTTGTGTTGGAGGATATAGCTGCCTTCAACTGTGAATTATAACGAACGAAACACTCCACTGTGTCCGTGAGGTTAACTGCTACTCAAAGTACTCTGTTTGGTCAAATTCATTTTGTTTATTTAGCCCAAATACTATTAACAGAAAATCAGATAGTCAAATATAAATAGGATTTGCAGTTCACAACAATTGCCATTTATGACATTTGTATTTTTTATTCATATTTTAAAAGTTACCGTATTATTTATGTTGCAACCAGGGCAGTAGGTATTGTATTATTGTGGGTTTAGCAGCCTGGTATACAGCACACATCCCACAGTAAAAATAATAAATAACTGAAGGTGGATCATTTTAAAGGAAGATTTCATTATGTGTAGATTATTATTTTAAAGATTTAACAGATCAATAGATACATATATAAGGTGCAGAATTTATCCACTATAGTTTTACTCCTGGTAATGTGGGGCGCCCTTTGAAACGAGCTGTGTGAGATACATTTGATTTAAAAAAATTATAATTAAAAAAGAAATTATTAGAAATTATTTTAAACATTTTTAGAACTTTTATTATATAAACTGAATGTCCTCGGTGTTTTTTTTAAACGTACTGGTTATGGTCTTGGTTGCAACTTTAATCTTGTAGCAGCAATAATATTCCAGATTAATGTTTTCTTCTACTTCATTAATTTATTATTTAAGACAAATAACAGGAGACTACTTCGGCTTTACTGTCGTCTTAAAAAAAAAAAATCCTCTGGTCATATCAGCGCGCGCGCGCGCGAGAGTGAGTGAGTGAGTGATGTCACTGGCCTGCGGACGTCTCCATACTGTCACTTTAACTCCTGTGTCGTCCAGGAGGAGGAGGGGGGGGGGCAGGCTCGTGAGGCTTTCCTTCTCTCGGACTCGTGTGCAGCAGCTGCAGCAGATTGAATGAACGTTTGCAGGCTGCTGGCCACGCGCAGGTCTGTTCAACATGCCACAGATGAACAGCGACGATGCATCGTTATGTTTTTGTAGCTAGGGTGGATTTCAGCCACGACACATTTCTCCAGTAGCCCCCACTGTCCCCTCCCTTTTTTTTTTTAAAGAAAGCTGCAGGGCCTCGTGAAAGCAATCACCGCCTCGATGGTCTCTGGACAGCAGCGCACTGAACAGGCGGACTGGCAGCTCTGCGCGGATGATAAAGAATTTGCGAAGGGAAACGGTCAAGATGGCAGCTGTGTGCGGACTGATAACGCTGGTGTGGTGGCATTAGGCGAAGTCATTTTCCATTTTCTCTGGTATGCACGTTTGCAGTATCGCGGCGCAGGACGCGGGCGCGTGTGAAGGAAGACTCTCCGCCGACTCTTCCCATCTTTAACCTCGCATTTCGCGAAATTGCAATGCATGCTGGCCAGGGTGTGGGCTGTGCGCGAGGAAAGGCGATGTTCTGTTAACGCTGGTCAGCCCGATCAGCTCCTGTGTGCTGCGGATAGACGCCTTGCGGGAGGACAGAGAGACAGACACGTGCTGGGACTGGGCTGCGGGCTGGACATTTGCATACCGTGCATAGGTAAATAAACGGTCTCTGAAGCCTGCACGCAACATTGATGGAATGCGACCCGAGTGAATTTATAACCCTTTGTGCAGCGACCGAGATATTGCGATTAACATGGCTGAGGCGCTGCGCCACGGCGACGAGTCCCCCTCCAACGTTGAGATAGATCCGGATTTCGAGCCCCAGAAGCGGCCACGGTCCTGCACTTGGCCCCTGCCCCGTCCGGAGTCTGGCGCGGACAAGCCCGGAACAAATGACACTGACGTAATCCCCGAAGAAGAGGATGATGAGCACGAGGGTTGCGGCGCGGACAGCGGCGATGCTCAGAAAGCCAGCGGTGGTGGTGGTGTTAAGTCGCGCTCGTCTCCCAGCAGCTCCGTCTCCCACCCTGTGGAGGACCACCGCGGCCCCTGCAGGGAGGAGGCCGCCGATGGTTCGCCTTCCTCGGCGCAGACCCCCGCCGCGGCTCTGGGCGGCTCTGCCTCCCAGCAGCTGAGGAAGTCCTCCGCCCGCAGGAACGCTTGGGGCAACTACTCCTATGCAGACCTCATTACGCAAGCCATCGAGAGCTCCCCAGAGAAAAGGCTGACCTTGTCCCAAATCTATGACTGGATGGTGAGGTCTGTGCCATATTTCAAGGACAAAGGCGACAGCAATAGCTCTGCTGGCTGGAAGGTGAGCAGTGACATGCTGGTGCTGACATCATAACAAAGACCACTCTGTGGTCATGTAAAGGCACACAGCCATGGTTAATGTAGAGAGGGAGGAGGAGGGTGCAAACGGGTTATGTGCCGACACCAAGGATGATTTTAGGTTTATTATAAGGCATATAAATAAGCAGCAGGGGGATGTGTGACTGCCTGACAAGCACATGGTGTAAAATGAGCCGAGTTGCAGTCAAAATGTAAAGGTACAGTTGTAATAGTGTGTGCATCAAACGACACACACTATTAGTTCTGCGCCTAAAACCAAATCAGAGCGTGCACTAATGAGGGCAGTGGGTATGAAAGTCGAGACTCAAAACAGGCAATGCAAAGTTGATTTCACTTTCAGACACACTGCAGCACAGGGGCTTCTTACAAGCTCCAGCGGGGCCCAGCTTCTGTTTGATTTCAAGGATTAGTTCGGCCTGGAAAACCAATTCATCTGTCATGGAATCAAGTCTGATGAAAGCTTTGAGCTTTGCAGGATTTAGATGGGGTGGAGGGGGGTTGCAAAACTCTGGAAATAGGTCTGTAATCCTGCACAACTGTGGGATGTGGGATGCAGGCCGATTTCCTGCGAGTTTCTTAGTGGATAAATCGCAGCAACGGTCAAGATTGTGCTTTAAAGCTCAACATGATGATGCGACGTGTTGATGGGAACAACAAAATATAAGCCGTGCATTGATGCTAATAACTGATTAATCTGCACAGCATCAGCTGGTTAGTTAATACGCGAGATTAGTGGAGGTCAGGTTTCATTCATGTTTTGCATGCTTGTTACGTTTGACTGCATAATCGGCATATTCATTTGGCGGATAGAAACGTGTATCACAGGAAGCGTTTGAGTGAATACATGACCTCCAGGGATCTACATCATGCGTGCATCTGCATAAATGAAGCAAGTGTTGGAGGTGGTTGATGGTTAACTGTTTGCCTTTTTACCCATAATCTTTTCTTTATTTAAACTCAGTAATACACACCGTTTTACAAAAACAAAGAAGCAGTGTGGGATGTAACAGTCAGAAGAATCTTAAGTTTATCAGCTGTACAAACAAAAACACGTGTCATTGGAACCATTGGTGGTATTTAATTTAGTGGACTCTTTGTTATTTTGTGCAGAAACTAAATCTTAAGACCTTGTCTGTTTGTGTTCTATTTGTGTTTTCAGGGGCAGAAATTGTTCTCGCAGAGGAAAGGGTTAATGTTAGGGTTTCAGAAGAAGTGCTGACATCAGCATTTCCTGGGAGATGCTTTGTAGCTGTGACATTCAGCAATCAGCCTAAAAGGGTGGTCATCTGCATGAGAGGCTGTGTGCAAAAAGCACAAAAAAAGAAAGTCCTCCAGTGGTGTTGATGGTCGGGACCGAGAGGTCGTAAATTCATGACCTGTCACACTTCTCCACGCCAGACGCAACGACAACCTTTGTGTGCAGCTCCAACACGAGGTTAAATCTCCTCGCTGTTGTGAATCGAAACAACATATACACACAGACGAGCAGCCGGAGGCTCGACCCCCCCCCCCCCGGCTGTGTGCCACACTGTCTTTTTTTTCTCCACGTGGCCTGCACACAAGAATCAATCAGCTGACTATAAATTATGTAGGTCAATGTGTAGCAGTGTGAGAGAAGCTCAGTGTTTCTCTTTGGATCTGGCTCCGGCTAAACTGGCATTGCTCCAGTCCCCGCTCTGCTCAAAGGGTGCTGCAGAGCTGCTGTGACTGCATGGGGGAGGGGCAGGCAGGAGTTGCACTTTGTGATTTGTCTTCTTTTTTTTTTTTTTTTTAAACGCTGCATGGCTCCTACTGTATCTACCTGTGCAGCATTCGGAAAACGTAGCGCGTCGCTGGAGCTTTAAAGATGCAATAACATCCACTGGATCGTTCTGTTCAGAGGCAGGCCTGGCAGCTTTAGCTTTTTACATGTCACACATCCAGAACATTGCAGGACTTTTGTGTTTGTGTATCCACAGCAAACATTAACTACCTGTATACAGGAGGGGTGGACACAAGAATAGCATCCCCTGTGTAGCAAAACAACATTCAGCATTCCTGTAATAGATAACAGCCTTTGTGCCGCTGATAACATTTTGCATCAGAGAGTCGATTGAGTTCTGTGGACATTTTTGATGTTCTAGATTGTTTTATTGTTCTGTACGGTGTTGTATTGCAAAGTGTATCTGCTGTAACGTAATACTATCTAACACAGCAACACTACAAGTTACGGCCTAATGAAAGACCACAGAGTTGAATGAAAACCCTCTGGACAAGCTCAACCAGAATCAAAGTGTCAGAGGTTTATTTGTTTATTGCAGGGCTGTTGTATTGGATTTCATGAGACTGAACAGGACAGGTGGTGCTTTTATGGTGTCAACTGTGTTCCTAATGACTTCTTTCTAAAAGATAAAGTCTGTCAACTTGAGCATTTACAAACCGGAGCTGTTGACACATGTGATATTCGGTATCGTGGGAGGCGGTTCTTAAAGAAAACATCCATGAACAAAGGCATGCTCTTCCTCTTCCCTGTATAGGATGATTTTAAGTTTTATTTTAAAATTTATTATGAGAAATATTTTGGTGTTAATGATCGGCAGGAACATGGGAAGTGTTTGGCTGCCTCACAAGCACATGGTGTAAAATGACCCAATTTGTTTCAAAGTATTTTGTGCAGACAGTTGTGCCTCAAAGTACACACTTGGTATATATTTAGAATAGTGGAATTATGACCTCATGTTGTCCTCTATAGTTTCCTTTAATCACAACACTGGTGTTGGTGGAATCAGTCTATTTTGTGTCAGAGGTGTGTCCTCAGCATTCCAATGGGGTTAAAAGTTGTCTCTCTGCAGCAGCAGTTTGGGTTTTCCTAAATTGTTCATATAATCTTGTCGTTTTATGGACATTAAAGCAGATTTTCAGCCAACTTAAAAAAGGAAAACCACCCGAGAAAGATTCCTCCATGAGGGTAATTTATTCATCCGCCTCCGGAGAAAAGTAAAAATCACTAAAAACATCCATATTTTATTTAGTCACAGGTGCAGGCGAATATAACACGAAGGAAATAAAACAAAGTCTGCACACTCTTGAGTTGCTCCCTCAGTGTGTTTTAACTCCTGCGCTCTCTTCATCTTCTTGGCACTCATTATCAAACAATCAAAGATTTATCATCTTTTCATTTAAACCAGCCTTCAGGTTATACACGTATGACAATCCACCATCCTGCTGCTGTAAATACTCAGCAGCACGTAAACAATCCCCACAACAATGTTCGGCGGGAAAACTACCAACAGCCGGTTTGTTTAGCTAGTTAAACTGGAGGGGGGGGGGGTTCTAGTCTTTGTGCCGTAGAGACAAGAGCGTGGTATCAATCTACTTGTATAACTATCGACAAAAAGTATTTCCCAAAATGTTGAACGATTTCTTTAAAGATGTATATCTTCAGTAGGAACAAATGTTCTTGTGGCTCAGTGCCACTGTGTCAGGAAGTCGAGAAATGGACCGGCGTAAAAATACAGAAACACGCTGCCTTCTTCTTTTAGGTCGGCACTTTAAGCTGATGAGGAGATCTTTGGGTAATTCTGAGTGGTCAGCAAAAGTCACCAGCTCTGTCCAGCTAACTTCCGGAGGGTGGAAATAAGACAGAAAAGAGCAATGTAGTACCTGCAGTTTTATTTCTGTCACATGTTGTAAGTGATGAAAGTGTTGGCCCGTTGACTTGATCCTTTAATTGGCTTGAGATCGAGCTTTGCTGGAAGTTTTCAGTGGGTCATTGACTCATTGCATTGAGAGGAGAACTGCGGCCAACGCTCCTCTGTGATCTCTCAGTAGTCACAAAGCTGGAGGGAAACTTCCCTCACAGCTGCTTTCATAGGATCCACATGGTAAACGTCAGGGTCAGCCTTGTGTAGGTTGAGCTTCTTTAGTGTTTGATTAGTTTAATCTTCTGAGAGATGGTTTTAAATAGGACCTCGGTTTACTCAAGTTAATTCAAGCTTAAGAGCATTATGCTGGACCCTCTCCCAGTGAACTTGGCCTTTGGACTGCAGAGATTTCTTCTTCTGCTACTGCAGTGTGACTTGGTGCGGTCGGCAGCAGGCTCCAGCTGTTTAATTTTGTACATGGTCGGGAACATCTCCGGGGACCTGTGGACGTTTTAGAGCGAGAAATGGGTCACAGTGTGAGGTGCAAAGAGGAAGTCACTGCAGTATTGTTCACAGTACTTGGTTGTAATAGTTTGTATTGAAAACCTTGAGTTTTTCGTTGTGGGACGCCGACGGTGTTGGATTTTCAAAGTCTTTATTTTCTACCTCCAGGGCAAAGGTTGCCAACTTTTTTTGCTTTGTGACCCCCCTCAAAATAAAGTCGTGTCGGTTGTGAGCAATTCAACCAAAGAGGGTTTGTCCTTCACTGACTGTTTCATTTGAAGGATTTTTAGAGGCTTGAAGAGTTGAAAATATCCAGTATTTCACGATACAAAAAAATATATATATATTTCACTCATAATAGACTTACTTCTGTGTCTCATAAACATCTGGTGACCCATCAATTTCTTTCTTAGGACCCCAAATAATTTCTCATCTTCTTTCATCACAAACTTCATAGACCTACAGACGGACAGCTCCACAGAGAGCCCAGTCATCTCTTGAAGGATAATTCCGGTTTATTACACCTTTAGTCTCATCGTTGTAGTGTTCTTCATCTTGTCTGTTATTAATATAATTGTACTCACAAAGTTATTTGTTGAATTCTGGGAACATGTTGGTATTAACACAAAAAGGTCCGTTATTTGGTAGCGAAAACAAAGGCGATGATGTAAAACGACTATTGTTTAAACACCACGAGGTCCATTCAGTAGCTCTTCTGGAGCTTTCAAGTGTGTCGCATGATCTTCCTCAGCAAATGTTACATTTTCTGAACTTGTTGTTCGTGTTGGCTTAAAGATGGGATTGAAAGTTAAATTGAGTTCAAAATGTATTCAAACTCAAACATCCACAAAGCCATGACCGCTGTGCAGAATCCATCTGCTGAGGAAGCTTACGTGGTTCCAGAACAACTCAGTAAACTTGTGATCAGATTGTTTTGACAGCTACTGTTTCCAAAAGTCATGAAATTGACTTTCAATCACAGATCAACTTCCTCTTTCAACTTTGACTAACTGTACTTTCCCTAGTTGTGAGCATACGACATTATCCTGAACGAGGATCATTATTCAGGTCCCCTCTCTCCGTTTTACCTCCAAATAAAATGAATAAAATGTGGCTAAACTGTTGACTTGTTGAAAAAACTGATTGTTCTGCTCCCCCTTGGTTTTGTATTGTCGGGATGTATAATTTAAATATCAGAATCCGCTTTGGTGACCAAGTATGTTTAGGCACACATGGAATTTGACTCTAGTTTCCATTAGCTCTGACTAGCTCTACTGGAAGACTGTGCATTTAATTGTTCTAATTTGTTTTTATTGCAGAATTCCATCCGACACAATCTGTCCCTCCATAGTCGTTTTGTGAAAGTCCAGAATGAAGGAACGGGGAAGAGCTCCTGGTGGATGGTCAACCCAGAAGGTGGGAAAGGAGGCAAAGCTCCCCGACGACGAGCCGTATCGATGGATAACAGCAAGTACATCAAAGGAGCCCGAGGACGGGCCACCAAGAAGAAAGCCTCGCTGCAGGCAGCTCAAGAAGGCAGCTCGGAGAGCTCCTCCAGCCTCTCCAAATGGACGGGGAGTCCCACCTCCCGCAGCAGCGACGAGCTGGACGCCTGGACAGACTTCCGCTCCCGGACCAATTCCAACGCCAGCACACTCAGCGGCCGTCTGTCCCCGATCCTTGCCAACCTGGAGCTGGACGAGGTGCCCGATGACAACTCGCCCCTCTCCCCGATGCTGTACTCCAGCCCCAGCAGCATGTCCCCGTCCACGGGGCCCACAGGGCTCTCTGACCTGGCAGGTACCATGAACCTCAACGACGGGCTCTCTGACAACCTCATGGACGACCTTTTAGACAATATCAGCCTGACGGCATCCCAGCAGCCTCCTCCTGGAGAGGAAGAGAACGGCGACAACGGGCAGGGCAGCTCAGTGTTTACCTTCAGCTGCTCGGGGAGCAGTCTGGGTAGCCCTGCTGGCAGCTACGTGCCGAACCCTCTTTTTAGCCCGCCGTCCATCACGAGCCTGCGGCAGTCGCCCATGCAGACCATCCAGGAGAACAAGCAGACCACCTTCTCCTGCATCTCGCACTTCAGCGACCACCAGACCCTGCAGGACCTGCTCAACCTGGACCCCCACAGCCACAGCAACGTCATGCTCACCCAGTCTGACCCGCTGATGTCGCAGGCCAGCACCGCCATCGCCCTGCAGAACTCCCGGCGAAACGCCATGCTGCTCCGCAAAGACCACACGTTGGTGAACCACACCAGCGCAGGTGAGGCCCAAAGCTCCTCAGTGCCTGGTTGGCAAGCTGGCTTGTCAACCTCTGACAAAGACGCCGGCCCCGCCGACGCCAAGCAGCCGCTCCTGAGGTCTCCCAGCAAGAACGACTCTATGCAGCTCGGCTCTGGTTTGTCCGGCCAGGATCGCTTTTCCGCCGACCTGGACCTCGACGTGTTCAACGGCAGTGAGTGCGACATGGACTCCATCATCCGCAATGAACTGATGGACGCAGACTGCCTGGACCTCAGCTTCGACTCTCGCCTCACCGCCGCTCAGAACGCCAACAGAAATTCAGGAAGCTTCTCCAGCTCGAAAAACACGTCCCCTCACAGCTGGGCTGAGGAGCTCAGTCAGAGCTGAGCATGGGGTTTAAAAACAAAAACAAAGAAGTCGGGAAAATGTAAATTGGGGTTCATTGTCCTGCGTCAGGCAACTAGAGGGAAGAAACTATGTAAAAGGGTATTCATGTAGTATTTTTTTTTTCCCCATTATTTTTAACGTGAGGCATTCAGTTTGGTACCGTATTATAAGTGTCCGAGACACACAATGGTGTCTTCACAGTGGAGGGGAAAAAAAATCTTTTAAAAAGATCAATGCCTGGGCGCTGTGAACAACAGCACTGACTGGAAGTACAGGACGTTTTGTTAAAACTATATGAAAAGCATCTACTCGTGTTAGTCTCAGGGAATCACTCATGCAGTATCACAAAGTGGTACATGGAACTGAAGATGAATTCTGTTTCCACCCTGCTTTCTCTCATCTCTCGCACCCTTTCATACCTAAACCTGAAACATTTTTGCCAAACCAGCTGTCAGCCTGTTGTGAGTGACGGCCTGTTTACAGAAAAAGCTGCAGAGAATGTTACATTATTACGTTCCAGTGGAGGATACTTGACTAGCTTTTTTTATTTCTATTTTAATGTTTCTTTGAGAGGCTAAATGTTAATGACCCCCCCCCCCCCCTTCCATTGATGCACAGTCACCAAATATCGATCTGTAGAGGTTAATATGTGTTCAAGATGTGAACTGATCTACATTGTGTGGTTTTCGTACGTAATGTTTATTTTACCCCGTGATTTTAGTGACATAACTGTGAATTCTGTTCCTTCTGAAGAGGTGCGTTACTGAAGTCTTGATAAAATGGTGTTTCTGCTGCAGATCCCTTTTCACCATCTTCTCCTCCTCCTCCTCTTCCACTTACTGCAATATTGGAAGCACTGCTCAGTACACAGAGTTTAGGACAGAATTAAGGACCGTGTTTGGTAGGAAACATGATGTAGCTCTAGTTGACACCATTTATATTAGTGAACACGTACGACTATTTGGATTGAAAATAACCACCGTTAGAGACTTGACGGCACTCGACTACGATATTTTGGTGTTTGTTAATTTGAAGGAGTTGTTGGTGCTATAAATAAGAGGATAGGGAGTGGCTGCAGATGGAGCAGCATCAGTAGCCTCCCCTCTGTTATCAGCACTATAGCAGGTGCTGGGGTCAAATAGTGTTTCCACCTCTATAAGAGGAGGCTGCGTAGCATCTTAGAACCATTTTGCCATTTGAGAAAGAAACCACATTATTTATATATTGCCAAAATATTTCTGCATTTAATGAAGTGGAAATAAGAAGATATACAGTGTATCGATATTAGGAACCAGTGCTATAATCATCAGCACAGTTTTGTAGGAACGGCAGGATGAACTTTTTTTTTTTTTTTGCATCTATATCAGCTGGAAACTCACTGAATTTATTTATTTTACTTTCCATATGTACATATTTTGTGCTTTATTTTTTTCCCACACGAGGTGTGGTAGAGCTGTGTAACAGCACGTTTGTTTTAATGGTTTATTCAACATTTTGACCGCCACAAACGGCAATTTGTGCCTAAAATGGTGTCGTCCTCTTGAGTTGAGAAAATCCAAATGTCACAGAAATATAGAATCTCCCCCCTTTTTTTTTTATTTTTTTTTTACACAAATTCTGCACACGGGTGCTTCCAAATACCATTTTTCTAGCTTCACATGGGTGATTTTATACCAACTTGAAGCTCCTTTTCTTTTTCTTTGACATTAACCTTGAGTAACTCTCACTGCCAATATTCAAACTCCTTTTATTCCTATTGCTCCTACAGAAACAGAAGCGACACCAAGTTGACATTGCCAGTTGTAATTCCACTTCCTCTCTTGGTTGTATCAGAGGTGGTGCATGTAAATAAAGCTTAAAGAACCACTGACAATCTGGAGTTGGTTTGATCTGCCTTTGTTTTATTTCTGTCTCCAGAGGAATTGCACAGCTGCTGATTTGACTTTGCAGGCACCAAGGAGGCGATTTGCTATTGGGTAATCACCTCATGAGCTAAGAGCCAATCACACACTGTATCCAAGAGGAATGCTTGTTGAGGTAGGTGCTGCTCAACAACTGGTGCATAATCAAATATTTGCAGTATGTGTTGTATATTTAAAAAATTCTGTTGACGTGGTATGTATCAACAAAGCCAAACATCATTGACATCATAGTCTAACAAACAGGACTCCAGTGTAACGTTGGAGCCCTCTACAGATGAAATGCAGTCAGCATGAGGAGGCAGAGGTTTGGCAGGATTTAAGAAAGTCTAAATGTTTGGATTCCCCAGTTCCTAGGCGTGTTGATCCTGAGCCATGTGTGACGTGTACAGAGTAGTGTCCTCCTCTGTCACAGTGGGGCAGATGGAGGCAGATCTGTCGCGTCAACTCTCAGCACTCCGGGCGGAAATTGAGGAGAATGGATTTGCTCAAGAAGCGGTGCCGTCCAGATGCTACAGGTGTGGAAGCTCGGGTAATGGTTGTGTGTTACTGGTGTTTGTTTTGCTGTCTGGGTTGCCAGGTAGGTGGCACTTAAAGCCCCCTCGTCCACTCAAAAATGTAATTTCCTTGTTAGATGGATGTCTGAGCTTCACTGTGCAGAACGATGTATGTGGAGAGTTCTTTTTAATCTGCTGAAGGGGTAAAGTTTCTCTGTGCTAACCTTAAATCAGAGTTTCACACGTTCAGGATTATTTTATGACGTCTTAACTAGTTTGGAAGCCAATTGTGGTCCAGCAGGCAACTTACACTGACGCTCTAGTTTTTTTTGTGGGAAAACCATCAAATTATTATTGTAAACAGATTATTTTAGATAAATCTGGAAATATGTCTAGATTGCTAGTTAGTTGGAACTTTTTTAGATTTATTCTCAGTGAAAACATGATTATCAAAAACAATAATTACAATTAAATGTGTAAAACTGAACTGATTTTCTGAATTGTTGACGCAGCGTTTGAAATTGGCAGCTTCCAAATCCTCCGTCGCTCTCGGGAAGGAGACGTTGGTGGGTCGGTGCACCAGTTTGGTTCAGGCTGAAATATCTTAACTACTTATTGGATTGTCATGTCATTTTGTTCAGACATTCATGGTCCCCAGAAAAATGAATCCTCATGACTTTGGTCATATATTCACCAGAAAATGAGTTGTTGTTGACTCCTTAACTTTGAACAAAGGCCTCTGTGGCCACGACAAGGGTAATGCTAAAACATTGCTAACATTAGCTTGGTCCTACCAGACAGAAGGCTGTAGTAAAAACTGCAAGTGTGTTGCATTTTATTGCAAATTAATTCAACTTTTAATTTGTATAAAGATTTCACGTTGTCGTCTTTCTTCATAGCTTTCATTGCGGGTTGGCGGGTTTTTTGTGCAATTAATTTCTAGCTTTGTTTCAGTTCTGTTCCGCCTCCAAAAGATGTTTCCTTCTTCCGCGTGGAGAGAGAACATGCACCGAGGAGAGAGAACATGCACCGAGGAGAGAGAACATGCACCGTGGAGAGAGAACATGCACCGAGGAGAGAGAACATGCACCGTGGAGAGAGAACATGCACTGAGAGGGCTTCAGGTCAGACAGAAAAATCATTTGTTCATTTCTAGGTTGTTAGAGGCTTTACAGCCTTTTGATGATATTTAATGCTCGCTTCAAAGATCAACATGTACTTGATTTTTACTGAACAACCCTCCTCCTGGATGCAGGTGGCTGAAGCTTTGCCGGTTCAGTCTCAGGCTGACGTCATGCAGAAGGAGCGGGATAGTTGCTTGAGTTTAGAGTACACTGCTGACAGTCTGCCTCCACTTCTACACCAGGTGAGGACGTTACAAACACTCCAGAAAATAGATCATAAAGAAGTGTTAATATGCTGTAGAAAAGAATTTAGACATGAGTAATGTCATTTAACCACAGTTCTACACAGACAGATCGTATCACCTGGCTCAGATCAAATACCTGCTCATGCTGAGATGGAGGAGATTCTGCCGCCACACCAGCGTCATTGAGAAGATTTATCCTCGTAACAAGGTGGCAATGTCTCGTTTTACCAGCACTTAAAAAAAGAACACAATAAGACTCATGTCAGATTTCCTTCTGGTGGCTCATCCTCCTTACAGCTCATGTTCTGCTACTACAGAGGCGTAAGAGAGGAAACGTAAAGGCAGCAAAAACCTAAATATTGGTGCTTCTATAATTTCATTTAATTAAAAAAGTGAGGTTGCGATTAACCATCTTCATTATTGATTCATCTGCAGATTATTCTCTCAAATGTCAGAACAGTTTCCTAAAGCCCAAGGCGCAATCACCAAACTGATTTCATTTTGGGTCAAGAGTCCAAAACCCCAGTTTAATATCACATAAGACAAGCAGCAAATATGTATATATACAAGAATTGGGGATTTGACGAGTAAGTACGAGGACTCCGTTCAGAGAGCACGCAGAGAGAAGATGGTATATTATGTCATAAAAGCCATAAAAAAGTCTCAAGCTATCGTCAAAGTAAAAAAATTAAACACTTTTCCTTGACCTCGGTGGAATATGTCATGAGGACGTGAAGTAGAATTCATGAGGATTTAAGAAAAGACAACCGCGGTGCTCAGTCACGCAAATATGATGCGACCGCACACAGTTTTATTAGTCATATTTGTTATTTTCAAAGCTAATATATAATATTCATTTAACAAGGCATTTTATTATCCATTATATTTAAGCATGTCATCCACCACAGTCAGATACTGTACATGTGTCTTCCCCTCCAAACACAGTGAAACAGTTTGATCCATATTTCAGTTTCACGTCACACTTTCATGTAAGATTGAGTAATGATGCAATCATCAATTGAAAATACAATGTCTCAAAATAAACACTATTGAGTCAGTCCATCGTATTGAGTTGACATTTTCCCATTTTAACTATAAAACAAAGTCTCTGTGTGCTGACAAGAATAAAAAATAGATGGTTTGCTTTGGGAAATGGTTGACAGAATATGTAAATAAATAGAATTTGCATTAATTTCGTCCATTACCCGATTATTAATGTAAGGCAGCAGCATTATCCGTCTAGCTTTGGCCCAAACTCAGCTGTCCTGCGGCAGCCCGGTGGTGTACAGGTAGGAGACGGTCCCAGCCTGGATCTGAAACGTCTGTCCCTGGATGTGGTGGCTGGAGATCTGCTCATTGGTCTGGCTGATGGAGATGGGCTGGCTGCTCTGGCTGCTGATGTGAATGGCCTGGCCGTGCTGCTCCCTGCTCACCGGCCCCTGCGGGACGTCCTGAGCGACAGCCAGGTGCTGGATCGGCTGGTGCACCAACTGCAGCTGCTGGACGGGTCGCTGCGCCATCTGAAGGGGCTGCGGGGGACCGTGATGGGCCTGCAGGTGCTCCATCGCCTCTTTACTCAGGGTGATGACGTGCATCTGCTCAGGCTGGTGCGTCATCTGGCCCTCCAGCATACTGAGAGTCTGAATGTGAGGGCTCTGGTCCACCACGCCGCCCTGAGTGACCAGAGCCACGTTCTGGTGCGACGACTGGGCGAGGAGGGTGAGTCTGGGGTGGGCCGATTCTGCCGCATCCCCCTCTGTGGCGATGATGCTGATCTCCTGGTTCTGACCCGGCACAAAGTTAATGTTGTCCACGTCTCCCGTCACCACCAGCTGGATCTCCTGTTGAGAGCTGGAGGGCAGCTGGTACTGCAGAATGCTACGCACTTCCTCTGGCGGCGGTGGCACTGCGGCGTCCGCTGCATCTGGTGATGCTTCGGGTGTCGCGGCTCTTTCCTTGTTGTGTGACCTGGTGTGTGTTTTCAGATTGTCCAGGCGCGTAAACGAGAGGCTGCAGAAGGAGCAAGTGAAGGGCTTCTTCCCCGAGTGAGAGGCGACATGTCGTCGTCTCGCGCTGGGGTCTGAGAACGACTTGTTGCAGATGTTACAGTCGTACGGCTTCTCTCCTCTGAAAAAGGACATTTAGATTTTAATCAAGTTTGTTCACAATGTTAAAGCTGCTTTATTCAACATTTTTTATGTTAACAATGGATCATATCTATATTTTGCGCTTTATAAAATATTGTACTTTTTACTCTACTACAGTTACTTGACAGCTTTGGTTTTAAGTTACTTGTAAGATGAAGATTTACATTGAAAAACATTTAATACGATTATAAAATTCGACATTTTCTTAAAGATTGAACCAGTTCACTTTTCGAAAAAGTGTCGAGTTGTACCTCGAAGTTTCAGAGTTGTTTCCACTAAGAGACATCTCCCTCTAAACTGCTCCGGCAGATTACAAATATCTTTACTTTATTTAAACTTTAATTACGTTTTGCTGATATTACATTATGTACTTTTACTTAAGTAGGAATTTGAACACAATATATTTTACTTACACTGTTGTACTTAAATAAAGGCTCTGAATACTTCTTCCTCTGTTGAGTGGATGTCACACTATGAATAAATGAAAGCTCTTTAAATATAAATAGATAAAATGTACTTCTCACCTGTGTATTCTGATATGAGTCTGCAGAGTGCTCTTGGCTGTGAAACACTTCCCACAGATCTCGCAGGTGAAAGGCTTCTCACCTGTGATATCATCGATGTCATCAAGTGCTTCCACATATTACAGTTTCACACAACTGAACAGTTTCAATAGCTTGTCTGACTTTACCTGTGTGAGTTCTCAGGTGCTTCTTCAGCTGAGCCGTGTCCATGAACTTGTGATGACACTGAGCACATTCTGGTAAAGATTTGCCTTTAATCAGAAACAAAGAACAAAGAACACAGTATTCTGCTGTTAGAGTGACTGTTTTAAAATGAACCTGCTGCTGTTGAAGTGATTCTCACCTGTATGAACTCGGTAATGGCTTTTAAGTTGCCTCTTCTGAGTGAAGGTCTTCCCACATTTATCACAGCTGAAGGATTTTCCTCCTGAGGATGCCGGTAAAGAGGATTCATTTACAGCAGAGCAGTAGAGAACAAAGCACTGACAGACTATTGTATTTGGTGGTTAATAGGAAAAGTAATCAATATTAATTTAATTTCTGAATATGGTGTTGACCAAATATATTTCACATCACAAACGTACTGTATAAAAAACAATATACAGTACATGAGGTGAAATCCAAAGAATAGCAAATGAAGCACTGACTTTATACTTGTATTACCTTCATGGAGGTTCATGTGCTCTTGTAGGGCGTGTTTGGTGGACAGCGCTTTGGAGCAGACGGTACAGACGAACGGTTTTTCTCCCGTGTGCATGCGCTGGTGCACCAGCAGAGTGTGCTTCTGGGTAAAACTCTTTCCACAAACCAGGCACCGAAAAGGCTTCTCTCCTGGGGAAGCAATCATGAAACACAGTGAAGGAGAAGCAGCACTGAGGTTAATGTGATCGCTGTGTGTTAATTAAACCATAGTCAGTCCTAATTGAACACGGATATAACAATCTATAACACACAAGTCCACAGAAATGTTTGCAGTCGGAAGCTTGTTTCTTAAAAGTCTTCAGTCCTGTGCCATGAATCATAACTCACGAGGCAGATTACCTGTGTGAGTCCTCTGGTGAATCTTTAAAAACAGGTGGTTTTTGAACACTTTGCCACAGTCCTCGCACCGGGGCTCCGTGTTGGGGTATTTCCTTTTCCTGCCTCTCTTCCCAGGCTCTTCCCCTCCTGCTGTGTCGCTGCTGCTCACCTTGTAACTCTTGTATTTCACCGGTGGCCTGATTTTGCGTTTGCTCTTGCGGCTCTGGTCGGCTGCTGCGTTGCAATCTGCATCGTTTTTAGTACACGACTCTGTAACTACATCACCACGGTCCATATTTCCAGCCAGTCTCTCCTCTGAGCTCACGCATGTCACACTTCCCTCCTCCAACTCGGTCACAGGCACATTTTTCTTTGGCCGTCCTCTTTTGCATTTGGACAGATCTGGAGCCACGGCCATGTCAACCTTTACCTGCTCAGTTCTACTCGCTGCAGGAGAGCGCGAGAGTTGAGTGAGCACCTTGACGAGGTCGTGGACCTCCATCAGACGAGCCGTGGCCAGAAGCTGCTCTTTGGCGCTCTCCTCCACGGACACCTGGGCGCTGTAGATGAAATCCAGCACCGCTGCAAACATCTTGGCTGCCATACCATCCAGCTGGTAGGTCGACTGACTGATCTGATCTTCTGCCGTGAACATGAGGGAAAAGTACTCGCTGCTTGCTGCCAGCAGGGCTTTGTGCGCCTTGTAGTGCACGTCTTCCACGACCAGAGTGATGTCGCACAGTAGGTCCCTTTTCCTGAGCTTGTCAAATTTGCTCAGGATGCTCTGCTTGTGTGAATCTGAATGCAGGGCCATGGGTGAGGAGGTCCTGTCTGCTGCTTTCTGGGACATCTTCTCCTCGAAACGATCTCTTCTGTTCCTGCAGGCGATGAAAGGAAACAGGGTTACAGTGCATATGACTGAGAGAAAGAAACAGGTACAATACACTATTAGACTACTAGATAGATATATAGCTATATATCGGCCACTTTTCGATCTTGGCGCTAGTGAATCAATGAACTGTCATTTAAAATAAAGGTTGTGTAAATAATCTTGCTTGGTTGGTTGATCAACAGAAAATTAATCAACAAATCTGATAATTTATCATTTTAATTCATTTATATGAAAGATTATCTGCGTTTTTGTGTTTCGTATCATTGTAAAGTGAATATGTTTTGGTTCTAAAATACCAGAGATGGGAAATTGTGATGGACATTTTTAACAATTAAAAAAATTATCAACAGATTCATTAATAATGAAAACACTGTAGTCTATGAACGTCATAGTTAAAAATGCCTTTTATAAAACAAAGGTGGTCATTAATATTGCTTATCTGAACTGTCCAAAAGACAAATTAATAAAGTTAGAAAAACAACCTCACATTTCCAAAAGCTGGAGACAGAGTGTTTGGAAATGGTTTTACTCATAAATGACGATTCATTGATTACCTAAATGATCAATGGCTGACCGATCAATTAGGCTCGCAAACATTCAAAAATATTTAACATTCACATGACTATGCCTTTCATAACTTAGTGCATAGCATTCTACACGTATTGTGTACTAACGTTACCACATCCACACAGAGTTCACTAGTTTACGGTCTCATAACTGCAGATAAACCCTGCAGGGATGTGAACTACTTCAGGGTTAGCAAGCAAGCTAACTTGCATCGTCCCAAACAATGCATCCGCTGCTAGCCAGCAAACAGGCCAAAGCCTGCAGAAATGACAACGTTTGAGCCCGAAATAGTGTTACACTAAAGGACGTTTCTGTTAGTGACGGGATCCAAATCCAAACCACTGTTTGGATCCCGTTTGCACACGAAACGCGGCGTAACTCAACATAGTAGTGAGCTTTTAGGACCTTACCTTCCACTTCGGCCGGAGAGGGTGAATGTGACCGACTTATCGCGAGAGTTGAGTTTCTGACGAGACTTACGCACAGCTGACAAGGAGAAAGAAGAAGAAATCATCTGAATAAACGGGCAATTTTTATTAAGTGGACTTTTTTTCTTCATGTAAATAATTTACGATCTGCACGTGCTTTAAAGACAGAAGAAACAAACATGTACTGACATGCACTGGACGCTTGAGATCGTGATCACCGTTACAAGTAACAGCCGGTAACAACGCACGACAGGTGCAGTTTTACACCGACTGTGTTTTTCTTCAGTATAAGACACTTTGTCAGCCGCAACATTCTCAAAAACTGTTATAAAGGTGCAAATACAATATAATATATACAATCACAAAATCAGATTGGAACATAAAGCGTGGGAGGGATCAGTCTTGGTGGGGTTGCATATATATATATGTCAGATCTTGTAGGTACATGGCTAATACAGAATGTCCGTTATTACACTTTATGTCACAATATTGAATATCATGTCCCGTGAGTCAGGTGTGAGGTTCCCTGACTAACAGCGGTCAGGCTTTCTGCACTTAAAACATTATTTGTACTTTCGGAATATTTCCATTTTTTCATGCCGCTTTAAAAATTTAGCATAAGTAATGATGGAAATATAGCACTTAACTATATTTATTAGACTAAATGAAGTGATCCTTGGACTGTGCAGTCAGTTAAGGTTAACGCTAGTAGGTGTTGATTAACCTCTTCATTACAAAGGTTGTCTTGCAGCAAACAGGCACAATTCTCTACTGGCAGTTTACCTCCAGTTTGAGACGCAGGCCTCTCCAGGATGAAAAGTGTCCGGGTTGTAGTGGTGGGAGCAGGCGTGATTGGCTTCTCCACTGCCGTCTGCGTCGCCGAGGCGCTTCCTTTCTGCTCCGTGACTCTGCTGGCTGAGAAGTTCAGTCCAGACACCACCAGCGATGGAGCTGCTGGGATCCTGTTTGCTGGAAAGTTTCCAGGTACGCAACAATCTCCCCATTAGAAAATGCATTAAACCGACTGTTATATTTCACAATCTTCCTCAGTCTGTACAAATTTACCAGGATGATAATAATTTGTAATGTTCATAAATTCATATTCTATCCCCACCCTTTACATGCACATACATAGCACACAGGTGGTTGAAAATGACTGATTTGACTCCATTTCTCTATCAGATATTCCCTTGGAAAGACAAAGACGCTGGTTCAAGAACAGCTTTGATCACCTGTTGGATATTGCTCAATCCCAACACTCACCGGAAGCTGGAGTAATGCTGAGCTCTGGGTAGTGATTGTTATACAGGTCTATAAAAATGGGATGAGTACTCATGAACTAGATGAATAGATTGTTTTACGTCCATCGTTTTGATTCTATTCCAGTTGGCAGATCTTCAAGGACGTTCCGGCCGATAAGAAACCCTTCTGGTCAGAGTCTGTGATTGGCTTTCGATTCATGACAGACAGTGAATTGAAAAGGTTTCCAGAACACAAGTTTGGACAGGCGTTCACCACCATTAAATGTGAATGTTCCAGCTACCTGCCGTGGCTCGAGAAAAGGTTCGTCTTCCATGTTAAACTCGCATGGTCAGGTCAAACGGTGTTAGGTCATTATTATTTTTCCAACAATAATTTACAGATGATTGCAGTTTAATTTACATTGTAATTCCACTGAGATGAATAGTTTAAGACACTCTTTATAACAACATAAATTCTTGTTTTGTAAAAGGTTCAGAAAGGCTGGAGGTCTAGTGGAACAGAGGAAGGTTAACAGTCTTCAGGAATTAAGCAACAGCTATGATGTCATTGTCAACTGCTCTGGGCTGGGCTCCAAACTGCTGGTGGGTGACAACAAGGTGTACCCCGTCAGAGGTCAGGTCCTCAAGGTGGAGGCCCCCTGGCTGCAGCACTTCATCAGAGATGGAGATGGAAAGACCTACATCTTCCCCGGCATGCACTGCGTCACTATAGGCGGCACGAGGCAGGAGGGGGACCGGCGACTACAAGTGGACGAGGGCGACACGAAGGGCATCCTGGAGCGCTGCAGCGGGCTGGAGCCGTCCATCAGTAAAGCCAAAGTTCTCGGCGAGTGGGTCGGTCTGAGGCCGAGCAGGAGGAACCCCAGGGTGGAGAGGGAGGTGGTGCAGCTGCAGGGCCGCAGGGTCCCTGTGGTCCACAACTACGGCCATGGAGGCTGGGGAGTCACCCTCGCCTGGGGAACCGCCCTGGACGCACTGGGGCTGGTAAGGCAGTGCCTTCATGAAATGCCGCTACAGGCTAAACTGTGAACCAGGTCTGCCACTAAATTCTGCTTTAATCTGTGCCAATAACACTTATCTTTAAAACAAAAATAAGACACCTTGGCATTAAGATAGACAACTAATCAGAACTTAAATCTTAAGAATTTGCTGTAGGTTTAACATTTTATAGTGATAATGCGAAGAAAAAAGTATGTGAAAATAATACATTTTGGTGAACAATTGTATTGAAATTGGTTATGGGAGAATGTAATATTTACAGATTTTTAAATGTTTAAATAGTTGCCTTCGAGTACAGAGATCTACTGTACTGAACTTAATTGAAAGATACCAACATTTATTGATGTGAAAGTAGAGCAGTGATTAACAAACTTGTTAGCATTTTTACAAAGAATATATGAAAGAAACCTTTATTACTAAAATGAATGCACAGGAAAAAACACTACGTAATTTACTGATGTGAAATAAACAGCTCTCGTTAACATCTAAGACAAATGCTTGCTGAGTGGAATCCAATTGTTCAACCGTTTAAATTGCTAAACTTTGTTTCAACACTGGAAATTATATTTCTGTGCCTTAAAACTGCTGATCGTTTACTGCATCAACGACATTATGATATGTAGTATTCTCCAGTGTGTCATTAGTTGCCATCAGTACTTGCATTTAGATCAAGCAATGAATAGTTTATTAATAAACGCTTTGTTTGATGATCCGTAAATGGCCACTCACTGCAGCGGGGTGATGTTCGTGTAACTGCTGGACTCAGTTCCAGTCTCTACAAACTGGATTCATCTGAAAGGAGAACATCTGAAATAGAGACGGGGGTGTTCCAAGTCGACCATACTGTAACCAGACTGAAGGTGTAGAAAGGTTAGTAATATGAATTTAACACCGTCTTCACTTTAGGTACGTTACCTGAGGCAGGAATAATTCTACTAGACTGAAAACATGATTTTGAAAGAAACTGAAAAGGAAATTTGTGTTTGGCGTAATCCACATCAACCTATAAGAAAGCAACAAGGCTTTATATCTATTGTATTATACGGTCTGGTTATTGTGCCTATATTGTGCAAAAATGTACCTAAGCTACGGTACTCCGCTTGCATTTTTACCTCAGATGAACATGCATCACGGCACACTACAAATACATGGTTGCATTTTCAGAAATAATTGGTTATTTGAAAAAATAACATGTATTTAAAGGACCAGTGTGTTAATTTTGGGGCCATCTATTGGCAGAAATGTAATAGAATATGAATTATTATGTTTTCTATAGTGTACAATCACCTGAAAATAGAAATCGTGTATTTTTGGGGTTTATTTACTTTAGAATGAGCCCTTCATAGCTACATATGCAGCGGGTCCTCTTCATGCACTGCCATGTTTCTACACTGGCTTTAGAGAGGGCCTTTCGTATTTTTAAGTTACCTGAAGGCCACCGTAGTTCTCCAAAACGCTTGCAAAATAAGGGGAGAACAGAGGGGTATTCAGCTGGTTGCAATCTGCAACCTCACAGCTAGAGGCCGCTGAATCCTACACACTGCTCCTTTAAAACATTCTGAACAAAAAACATGGTTTTAAGATGGTTAGCATCCAACAGCTGCAGATAATATCTGTAAAGTAATAGTTCACTGTGCTTTTGAGGCCAATTCTTTGTCAGAATGTGGATCAATACTGTGGACCTGGAGCCTTTCTTCTTTCAGGGAACCCAGATTTACTGAGTTTATGGATGTCTTCTTATTTCTTTCCATTGTCAGCCGGCGGGCTTCGGAATTAGCCGAAAATGAATTACTCACCTTGTCCTCTGACGAAATGTGATTTGGGTAGTTGAATATGCAGGCGGTCTCTGTGAGTACAGGTTCTGGGTCTGTTAAGGACGGTGTAGTCAAAGGATGATTGGACCTTTCTGCTGGAGTTGTGGGTGGCAGCTGGAAGTGTGTGCTCTGTGTCATTTCTGCTTGTTTAGGGTGTGCCTGTGCCGTGTCTGTGCTCAAAGTGCTGGGCACAGCATTATATAATGTGGTTGAAGATTGGGAGGACGGAAACATGACCTCGCAATGTTTCTGAGAATTTACTTGGTGCCGTCTGCTCTCCTCAGTCTTTACGCTGGGGGTCAGGTTCCAGTTTTTAGGGGGGATGAGTTTTCTCTCCTGCGCTCTGTGGAGGACGGTCAGAGAGACACTCCGCCTCAGCAGATCTGCTGCTGGATTTCTTCTTAGCTCCGTGCAGCTCAGACTCCTAGCTGTGGCTCCACTGGGAAGATGACCCTTTGCCGGGCTGAGGAGACTTAAGCTGCTCTTCGGGGGTCGTTGTGGTGATGAGATACAGAGCAGGTACTCTGGTTTACTTTGGAGTGAAGTCTTACTAGCGCTGGTGGAGGTCAGGGTCTGGGGGGGAGCAGGGTACTCTGGGGACGGGAGGTGGCTTGACTCAAAACCGGAGGAGGACCTGCTCATGGATGAAGACGTCTTTTTGTCCCTTCCTGAAATAAACAAGTGAAGTGTGTGCAGATCATGCAGGTGCCGGTCAGTGGTGACATGTATTTGACTTAATGAGGAAAACAGCAGAGCCGAATGAATGACGAAGGAAAGAAAAGAAGCAAGCAGTCAAGACTGGTAAAGCATGGCGCAATTTATTCCTCACGCTCAACCCCGACAGGAGCACACTTCAGAAAATGCTGAGACTTCAGACCTGCCACAGAAGTGTTAGAATAAGTTTAACTTTGACCTTAAACTGTGTTAAACCAAACTAAAGGTTGCTTTAAGTCCACATTTTAGTGCATTTACAATTATACAAAATGTCATATTTTAACAAGTATAATTATACTATTTAGTAAATATTTTAATTATTCTGCATTATGCAGTTTTCAGGCACATGATAAAATATTGCGCAACATTATATTTTACTGGGCTAAAAAAAAATATACACACCAACAGCAAAATCTTGAGAGAAATAGACTGTACACGTGTGGCTGCTGTGACACACACCTTCTGACATTCACAAGAACCCTCATTTACAATAAGCACAACTCTTCCCACTTTGACAATTTTAAGACTTAAGCCAAACCAAATATCCACAATAAGAATGATATAGCTATGAGTAAAGCAAGCATTCACAGTCAATATGTACTGCAATTACTGATAAAGTTGTTGTTTTTTTAGCACTATGTAAATCTTCTCACACGTCGGTTCAACAGTCACCATTTTCAGCAAATGCAAAAACCACCACACAACTAACTCACCACTCAACTGCAGATGTATTTGTGAGTAGATCTACAAGCTGCTCCACATATAGTTTGTTCAAGGGTGTGAAAAATGTCTGCCGGTCACTGCTCAGTTCAATATGATGGAAGTGAACTTTCTAGTCCCGTAATAAACCTCGTGTTATCCCCTTTTGAATATTGTATTGAGAATGTCATGTTTGTAAAGAAAGGCAAGATATGTCGGTTCTCAAAAGCCCTTAACAGACAAAAAGGTGATCGCAAAACAGTTGGATTCAATGATGCCGGAACAGAAGAGAGTATGACTTGAAGAAGAAGAAGAAAAAAAAAAAAAAGAAAAAGAGCACCAGAAGTAAATGTGACGATAGAGTCTTTCCAGAAGAGCATGAAAGCTGAATTTGGCGGCTTTGAATGCTGGAGCATCAAGGAGGACTGAAGACAGCACGGGTCTTTCTAGTGAAGGATGAGGCCACAGAGGGCAGAGGAGGAGGTGGGCAGTGTTCACAGGCGACTCAGGCTGTCATTACCGTTCTCCAGGTTCTCGTTGCTCTCGTAGCAGCCGGAGTCCCGCGGGGAGTCTCCCGCGAGTCCACGCCTGTCCAGCAGCAGCAGCTTCTCCTGTGAGCCTCCAGATTGACTGCCTCGCTCCGGGTCGCTGCTTCCTGCAATGCACAACATCGCCAACAGGGGGCAGACAGTCACATCTTATGAACTCCAGTGATAACTGCTGGGGAACAGCCTGTGCTGTGTGCCTGTTGTGCTTTTGAAGATAGCAAGGACAGACATTTCAAGAGATTCCTTAAAATTGTGGACTGTAAACTGTGAGGTGAAGGACTCTCAAAACAAGTTGAAACTAATCTTCACAGATATTTCACAGACATATATAGTATATATATTAATCTAATGCGACTTTGCAGGGTTTTCTGTAATCCATCCTTTCACTATTAAGTGAGTGTTATGTTGTTCTGAGGAAGAATTAAACATTTTGCATTAACATTTCAATCTTGAATGAATATTATTCAATTTGGCAAATGTGTCTCTACATGTGATAATATGTATGTGTTTGGAGTCTTATGTAGTGCTCAGGTGTTGGTTACCTGACCCGCCATCATACTCTTGCAGCAGCTCCACAGCGGTGAGCAGCACTGCTCTGTGCTGGGCGTCTCTGATGTTCAGCTCATCCAGGTCCTCCTCCTCCAACAACTTGAATGTGTCCAGATCCTCATAGCCGTTAAAAAGGAATGTGGGGAGATACTCCTGTGGAGGGGGGGGTATGAGCAAACAGGTAAATAGAAAAGATCTATAGAAGGTATTAAGTTGACCATGCACAACTTCAGAACTGCTAAAAAAATATTTTTTCATGGAGATGAGAAATAACAAACTTTGTAACTCAAGGATTCAGCAATCAGTATTGTTCTGCAATTCTGCTTTTTGTCCTTCTTTCCAGCCTTCATGCTACTATAAGCTAAGCTAACTGTCGGCTGGTTTATATGAAGCACAGAGACATGAGAGGTATCAATCTTCTCATCCAAATCTCGGCAAAAGGAAAATTATTTCTTTAAAACACAGCTAGAACCAATTTATTTCATGTCTGACAATGTCTTCTGTACTTGTTTTGATTACAACAAGTAGGAAGATTATTACTTTGAGGTTGATGCGATCAAGGAGCTCCTCTACAGAGGTGGGTTTGGGTTGCCGGGCCTTCCTCCTCCTGCGTGTCTTCTTGGGCTTCACCTCCTCTTCATTCAGGACATCCACATAGATGAACTTGAAGGTGCCGACTTTACCGTTGAGCATTCCCATCCACGTACCCATCGGAGGCTTACTAATGACATCGATGACGTCTCCACTCTGCAAGACGAGACCAGCGGAGCTTGAGTTTCTTATACGATGTCATCGCTACATGACGTGCAATTCACCGGCTAAATAATAACGTGGTCGTACCTTAAGTTTGAGCGAGTCTGTGTCGTAGGGACTGGGGGTGAAGTCAGTTTGAACAAGAGCGCGTCCACAGAAGGGTCCGCGGTAAGGCAGCTCATCCTCTTCCCCGTCCTCAGACTTCACACTCTCTCTGTTGCTGTTGGAGGAGTCAGTGGTACCCACAGTCTGACCACCTACACAAACCACACAAAGACAAATGAACCACTCAAGGACATAAGACTGCACGGCTCTGTTAGTATTTGAAAAACATTTTACACGTCTTGGAATCTGACTGAGGCACCAGATGTTACACAGTTATCCACACAGACAAATACAATAAGACAAGGAGGTTTAGACTATCTCGAATATTGACCATGAAACACTTTTCTGATAAACACCACACATCTGCTGTTCCAAGGTCATCTTAAAACAAACACTGAGAATTATTTGCAGTACACCCAGACCCGGCACATACGCACACTGTAAACACACAGACTTACTCATGGAACTTTGTCCGCTGAGGGAACTCCTCAGGCTTTCCACAGAGCCTCCTGGCTTCAGTTTGGGTTTCTCTACAGAGTCAGAGTCCGTCTGAGGCGAGTGAGGGCAGCTGCATATGCGGTCCGGGCTTGACTAGGACACACAGAAGAAAAAAAAAATATTACCTATGCTTCAAAATCGTCACCACATTAACTAGTGACGCTGACAGATGCTGCTGTACGATACTGACTGCGCGTACCTGTTCAGAGAGAGAACAGTGGTATCTCTTCGATATGTGTTTCCTCATAGTTTCTCTCACAGACTTGACTTTTTTGCCGAGGGAAATACGAGATGTTGTTGGAGACTTAATGGGATCCCTCACACCATCTCCGTCTTTATTCTAATGTACATACACAAAAAGCAGAAAATAGGCAAATAAACAAACTATTTATTTTGATCCAGTGTATGAAAATTCTGGAAGAAAGACAGCTACGTACCATGTTGTCGTCGTTGGAGATGACCGCATGCAGTGAGCGGTTCGTCAGGTCAAAACCTCCGAAGCTACAAGCTCTCTGTATCAAACAAACAACAAAAGCAGGACACTCATAAGTAGAGATGCGAGTGAAGTTGGGGGAACCCTTGCACAGTACAATGAGTTTTTAAGAGCATGCATCCAGCCACCTGTTGCATCACTTTTGCTTCAATTTGAATTCTTTTTAAGATGCAACATGGGGCATATACGTTCCTGCAGCAGGTCAAGTCACCACAGATCCCACGAGGGGAAAATACAAACATTTTCTCAGAACCACCGACTGATTTTGGAAGCTCACCGACTGATTTTGGAAGCTCACCGACTGATTTTGGAAGCTCACCAATTAGAAAGAAAACAGTTGACAGTATTATACAAAAAGTACAGGATGACCTCTATTATTTCCTGAAGTAGTCACCCATCACTGACTCTAAAACTGGTTCGGACTATATTAACATTTAATGAGCATCAGCTCAGAAGCTGGAACAGTGCATGCAGGGTTGCATAATGTTGATGGATATCAGTGGAGTTGATGCGACGACTGCAGGATATATTAATTCAGTACAGCAGCTTTAAACATGCACCACTCGCCAAACAACAATCTTAACAATCTCTTAACAAAGGCTGCTATGAACTCACTACTTACCCCGTGTTGGCTGAGGATCCGGTGACGGAGCTCTCCATCTGTCACAGAGCGAGCAATTTTGGCTTCCTCATTATTGCAACCCTCCATTTCAGAAGCGGAAGAGCCAGTGCCTTCCCCTGCCTCCCTCACCTCGCCTGCTACACGTGTCTCCTGATGAACAGGGCTTCCACTTGACTTTCTAAAGGCCTGGAACATCTTCTGGCTGCGGTAGGTGTCCAGGCTGCTGGAGGAGGGGGAGGTGGTCAGGCTGTCGGAGTCCCTGTCACAGGAGAGCTGATCCTGCAGAGCTGAAACCAGGGAGTCCACGGGGCAAACGGCAAGCTTCTTCTGCACACCCGAGTACAGTGAGGGGCTGGCATCTCCGAAAGCAAGTCCATCCATCATTAAGCTCTCTGGAGGGTAAAAAGAGGAGAATGGAGGATGTAAACATATTAAAGTAAAATGTAAAGAATTAAGATTTGACTACAAATAAGGTTGGACTTTTTTTAAATATCAGGTATCAGCCAAAACACAGTATTGTCCCCAGTTTGAATGTGTTGTCTTATGTTGGAGTGTCGAACAGTCTACAAGCTGTTTCAGAGGCTTTTCCAGAAGGCCAATTTCAAAATGCTGGAAAAACATGTTGGGGGGGGGGGGGGGGTGAAAGCACATTCTTCAGAACATATATTCACACAGACTACACAACTGGAGAAAACACAGTAAATACTGTTATTGCAGCACAGATCTTTAGTCAAACAGTAATTAGATCGGGCACAATCACCGATATTGTCTCTAGACTCTGCGTCACATTCAGAATTGTGGTGTTCCTCTTTATAAACATAGTACGTTTTTACTGTGAACACCTGGTAGTTTCTACATCTTGGCTTCACTTATAGAAACACAATTTCACCGGCATAAAAAAAAACTACAACTTCACTTGCATTTTTGATCAAGTGGCATCACATAGTAGGACAGTGAGAAGGTGGACAGTTCAGAAGTTTCTACAAAGATGGTTTCAGTACCCTCTGCTCCAGGCCTCTTAGACTCATCAATTCTGATCAGCTTCTTCTTCCCCTTCCGGGTTGAGTTGACCAGTTTGTGGAGTCTCCTGAACGTCACAGACTCCTCTTGTTCATTGTCTGACAGGTCACAAGGCTGAGGAGAGACCAGAGAGAATCTTAAGCACAGAAAACATTTACCTGTACATAGTGGACTGTTACCAGTCGTAAGGCCAATTATTTTAGTTCTCTGCTTTTAGTAACTTGTATTAAACAATAAGGTATATAAGCTGTGTGCATGTAGATGCTACCCGCTGAGCATTCTGTAGAAGCGACATGTAGCTTAATATAAACATGTGGTTGGAAACCACAGTGACACTGAAGCCCATGTTAACAGCTGCCCCGTACGCTCTGCATCACAGTGCACTAGAAAAGGCTTTCTATTCGTGGGAAAACGAAAAGCTAGCTTCTTGGAAATCACCTTCACCTTCAAATGAAATGATGGTTAGTGAAAAAGTCAGTGGTAGGTTTGAAGACTCTGGTCACAGATGTTGAGGGTTTTTAGTCTGCTGACCAAAGCATGAGCGGTATGTACATCCCAGAATAGACGTCAAAAGACAAGATGAAAGCAGATTTTAAATACACAGCAACAACTAAATGCAAGTAGAGATGCTCTATAATTAACAAAGAACAACAGGGGAGGGGGTAACAGACGTGCAACCATGACACAGAAAGAGAAAGTAAGAGGAGAACACACACAGCAAAGAGAAATAGTCAGGCCATACAGACCAATCTGAAAAATGCGCCCTGCACCTGAGCCCCTAATCACCTCACCCATGCATAAAAGAGCTGTGGCCTGCATAACCGGGCACTGTGCGGAATCCAGCCGCTCACTGCAGCACAATAGGGGGTTAGCGCTTTGACAGTGATGAATAGAAGTCTGCCCAGTGCCCTGCAGTTGGGTGAGGGCCCTGAGCTGAAGGGCTTTAGAGGGGCCCCGGTTCATCGCCAGGACAGGGACAGAGGGAAAGAGAGAGGCACTGTCAACAGCTCAGCAGCCTTGGCACCGGTAGATCAGAGGCCCTCACGCACAACACACAGCCTGAAGTTGCGATTCAACGACTAAGGCGCCCTCAGACTGGGAGCTTAGAGACTTACGTTGCAGTTGAATGATTCATTTGTGGTGAGGCTGGAGGGATCGGTCCATTCTGTGGGATCGGACTGGCACGTCTGTTTGTTTTGTACTTCAAACTCCTTCAGCTGCAGAAAAAGACAACAACAAACAAGGTTTTTACCATATGCCTTCATTAAAACGTTATTTCTTTCACAAAGCTGAACATGCTGTTAACTTTTCCAGTCAACAAACAATTTCCTGGATAGATCATGTCCAGTTTTTTTTAAATGGGGATTTGCTCTTTTTTACATTTTGGCTTCAAAAGGTCAGACGTAAAAGAGTTGACCCATTTCATCTGCAACAGTTGGTTTTCCACAGCAGACTGTCAAAGTTGATCAAAAGGAGAAAACACAGCATCTGTGAGGTGAGGAGAGTTTTGGGATGCATGACATCATACCCGTGCCAAGGCTTCCTCTATAGAGATCATATTCTCCTTCACCATCATCATCAGCTGGATACGCTCTTCATCACTCATGGTGATTTCACTGGCCACAAAACCAACGTCTTCACCTGTCAAGTAAAAGTAGAGATGTCAGCTGACAGAACGAAACACAACCGACTGCTGTAATTAGGCATTTTATCAAAACTAATCATGAATGTCACATGACAAGAAGACGTGCGTATGTTGATGAGCAATCCTACATACATCATTGCCTTCTTCTGTGTTATTGACCGAACGTACCTTTTGAAATCTGACGCAACACTCCTTTCTGTGACTTTCGAAAACTCTGCCAAAAAGACTTGCTCTTTCTCTTTCCATCCCATTTTCCTATACAGTTCAACAGTTCAGGTTCATTTAGTGCAGAGAAAAAATAGAAACAGCATCGCCACAAAAATACACAGTAATATCCAAACTATAGGTAAACAATTAATAACTCCAGTACCTGAACTGAATTAATAAACTAAGTATTAGGTTATGCCCTGGGTTACAATATACTCATGATACAAACATAAAGGTGTTTGTTTAAATAGAGGCACTCATCGTTGTCATTACTACCACCAAAGAAGAAATATATAAAATCCCCTACAAGCACAAATAAAACTATTTTTCAAAAGTAGTTTTTCTGGAGGCTTAGTTGAGTGTAAAAAGGCCGTGAAAATATACATCAATCGCAATGCATTTACAATGATGAATTAGGAATACAATGCATGTAATAAAAATTCATTCTTACCTCCTGATCCGTCATCAGAGCTAGATTTGTGCACAGGTAACCTGAAAATCAAACACAATATTTACTTCATATGAAGAGTTCAAACGGGGAGTGAAAGCCCTGAACAGAGCGGTACCTGTTTGTCACAGTTATTTTCTTCATCATTCCCCGCTATCCCACCATCTCCCTGAACAGGTCTTTTTATCCTCTCCACTTGCGTCAGATTCAAAACAAAAAAACATTCACAAAAGCGCACTATTCCTCATGACACTAGCATCTTAGTAACAGGAAATCAAAGTAGTCAAAACAGATGAAAAAGACTGGCTGCTCTTGGCTGATGAACAGAGGTCAGTGCTCCACGGCCATCGCAGGAACAATGGATCCTTTTTCACGTCCAGTCAGGGTTTTGCAGTAGCAGCGGTAACGTGGCCTCTGCATTCCCTGCACACTTTCACCCTCCTTCTCTCTCTCTGTGTGTGTGTGTGTGTGTGTCTCTCTCTTCATCTCTCGGGGCTGTTTGTGGCCTAGAACTGTCTCTCTCTCTCTCTAACAGTCTCTCTCTCAGTTGACACTTGTTGCTGGTGTTGGATCAGACGATAAGTTTGCAGATCAGACCTGTACTTTATATTCAGTAGATGAGACATCAGTGGTCGTATTGTTCTCTGCTGAAGTGTTAGAGGTTCATCTCTAACACAGCTACAACAAATGTGAAATTTACATCTTTTGTTCATGTTTGGTTGAATTACTGTATCCTAATTATGAAATATTCATTTTGCCAACACTGAAATTATTGTTTGTCACCTTGTCTTAAGCAGCCGTTTATTCACCTAGAAAATGTTATTACGCTGGTTTTCAGTAAAGACACATGTCATTGTCTAGAGTATTCACTAAATATATTTTTGCATGATTAAATCTTGAACATAGCCAAATGAAACCATCGATACAAGTGTCAAAATCCCATATTAATTTCATTTTCTTCAAAGGACCATGAAACTGCTCAAAGAACAATTCATTTTTATAACAATCCAAAAAAGCAAAACACCATAATATTCAGAGTTGGTAGCATGACACATCAGCACACTTTTTCCTCTTTCAGATTCTTCAGTAAAAAATATGTAGGAGACGATAAATAGTTGAAATATTTCGGCATGAAAATGGCAATGAAAGTTGAATGACTTTAGAGTAAAAATAATACTGTTAAGTTATTAAAATGTGTTTGATGCTGGTAGCCATCAGTTTCCTCCAGCATTATCATGTACTTGTCCCACTAGGGGGCAGTGTACGTTTCCAATGAATGCGTTTAGGTTCTTTATCAAAAAAAAACAAAAAAAGATATTGCTCAATCTCAACAAGCTTAATCAAATCAAAATGTTGCTTTGTATTTAGTCATCACCATTTATTCATGATAAAATATGACTAAGCTTTGAAATCCCTCAAAAGAAACAATGGAGAGAAGGAAGGAAGTTTATAGGTGACACAGGAACGCTTCATAAATGTCGGGGGGGGGGGGCGCCAGGAAGCAGAGGGAAGATTTGTGTCCTCAGGGTGACACAGAGATAACGCAGCAGGAGTCATCTCAGTTCAGCTTCCAAGAGCGATATGACTTATATTAAATGATTGTAGTGTAGTCTGTAAAGCCACAACAATACACACTATCTGGACAAAATAATAGCACAGCCATGAGACCACTATCTATTACAAAATGTACTGGTCTGTTCCTGTTCTCACTGATGCTTCACCCCAGACAGTCAAGGATGCCGACCCTTGCTGGTGCCTAAACAAACATTCAAATACTGAAATTGTGGATTTCCAACTTTCCTTTAAAACAAACAGTTATAATTGGGATTTTTCTTACCTTCTTTCAGTCTCTAGTATGGACGTGGTGCTGCTGAGTCCAAGAGATTCCTTATGGAGATGAAAAAAACCTCAGTTTAAATACAGCACAGCAGTAATGGGTCAATTAACAGTTGGTTTTAAAAGTAAAATAGACTTAGTTATAGTGTTCTTCTCTGAGCAACAAGTCATTTAAAATGATGACAAAGTAGCTTATACAGACTGAATCAACTGCGATCGAGGGTTAACAAAAGAGGGATTTCAGGAATTCATTTATTTGTAATTTGGTAGTAACAAAACCCACATATACCACTAGTCACATTTTTTAGGAACTACTCGCGAACATCAGCAGACAGTCTCAAGTCCGGCTCTCTGCATACCAGTCAGTCAAATTAGTTGTTTTTTCTTTTTTGCTCAGGATAATAATGACAAGGCCGTTCCATCGCCTCTTTATCAGCCTGTCTGCTGACACACGCAGGCAGCAGGAAGTTGCCTTCTCCTAGGGTCTGACACACTGCGAGCTGGACACTCACCTGGATCTGAGAGCGGAGCTGCAATGATGTGGCCGCTGAGTCAACCGTTCCCTGAAGCACACAGGCAGGGGAAGCGGAAGAGTAAATTACAGTGTCATCATAACACAGAAATAGACATTATGTTCATCTGACTGCATCGGCCATATCCACATTACAGATAAACACCGGTAAACAGTTATGTGTCACAGGCCTTTGCAGTTACTGCACTACCAACAAATCTGAATCTCATGATATTCATTTACAACGTCAATGTGTTCATCTGCACTCTAACGGCTGATAAAAAGGTTTTAATGCCGATATGTTACTTTTTTTTTATGACCTAAGCTTTAAACTGATAAGAAAAGACTGATACACTCGTTTACCATCTCTGCATCTTGCACTACTTTGCGTTTCCGTAGCTCCTCCATCCTTTCACACACGTCGCTGAGGGAGGTGCCGTAATACTGAGAGTACTCGTGAACCAGGTCGTCAAGGTTCCCCACCGAGCCATCCTGAAGGAGATAAAGAGGCATTTAAAAACACTCAGATGTGACCACAGACCAGAACAGGAAAACGACAACCAGCAGAGGTTGATGCCAGACGGCAGGGCAAACACTGTAAACAATGACCACTGTGACGGTTCAATCCATTGTGTCAAGGTTTAGCACGGTCGCCAGCAAAACAAACAGCCAGGAAACACTGAGATAAAGCACCAGGATTGTTAATGTATCAGAGACATCCAGCTGGGATATTGCCCCCGTCTTCAGTTTGTTGTCTTCCTGCCCAGCGACCCCTTCCACCTCCTCAGACCTCCTCAGACCTGACCCCCCCCAGCCAGAGGAAGCACCGTGTGACGCAGCTACGACTCTCACTCAGCTCTCCAACAGCCATCAAGAGTCGACTCAAGAGGCCACGGTGCAGTCGACCATAAATCACAAGAAGTAGAGTCACTCAGTCGGAGGACTCTTTGTCCTCCTGGATGCAACCCTTCTTAGTTTCCTACAATTGTGTTACCTGGAATTATATGCCATGTCAGAGGAATAAATCAAGTTCTGCTGAGTTATACGACCTGGTGACCTTTTCATGGGGCTGGTTTCCTCGTTTTGAAACTGTAAAACACACTGGAGTATTTGGTCTATTTCAGTGAAGTGCAGGAGCAACCCTCAACAACACTACCTTTGTTGATCAAATTTAGTTGACTGTCCAAATAAAGTACAGAAGTCTGCAGCCACGTCGCTCCATGTGTCATATTCATACGCATCACATTTTCATTTGCAATATTTTGAACAAAATGTTCACATTCATATCCAAACTGTTCATGTTTGTAGCTGATGTTTTATGTTCAGAACAAATATCTTCTTCTTGATAAAGAAATCAATATCTGTAATGATTCGAGTAAGCTTGAACCCATGTTATTACTATTTTCTCCCACTGTAAGTGAATAAAACTTCTATCACACAGTTAGTGCAGAGCAGTGAGACAGCTTGAATCATTCATGACTTATAAAGATAATTCAACAATTACAATATTAAAAGACAACATGTGAGAAGTCACCAGTTAAGACTAGAGAGACAAATACAAGCTGTGTCTGATAATAGCCATCCATTATATCCATAAACTGTTTCACACATGATTACTACAATTATTATTATGCTTCACTTATGCTTCACCCTGAGGGTATATGCAAATGTGCCCGCTGAAAACAGTCCTCTGCAGTGAAAAGCAATACTGTGGGCTCACTTGTCTCGTGGCATGATAGACTGACTGGCTCAACTGTCCAGAAAAGAGGGCCATTCATTTGGTGACATGCCCCCCGGGTCGAAAACGGCCTGAAGATCTGGCTGCTTTTCATACAGTCAAGAGACGAGGCCGGGGCCAACTGAGAAGCTCCGAGCTGTGCCTGGCTGCAGTCGCTCCTTCGCCTCAGACTGCCACGGATCCACATAAACAGCCTATTGTGACCCAGCCACATGATATAGCATTGCCCCCCCCAGAGTGCTTATTAGACACGCTGCATGTATACACATCGCCGTTACACGTGAACGTTTACTAATAAACAATATGAATTCCATTCTCCTGCCGACAATTCTTACAATATGGGTTTTTGGGGCGAATATTGCTTTATGTTTCCGTGCGTCCTAATTAATGGGTCTTCAAGCCAAAACTGCAGCATGAGACATCAACCACAGAGGCTTGAAAATGAGAGTGTGGTGTCACATTTCTCAGGCGCTGAGCATCTCATAGGCAGACAAAAGATCCACGTGCCCCCAGGGCCCAGAGCGTCTTTACATCTCACCGTCTCGTCTCACCGTTTTTGGAAACCAGACCTGGGTCATCCGTAAATGATTCGTATCACTGAGAAAAGTCAATAATAAGGAGATCAGATCATTCAAATAACACCATGACGGACAACTTCTCTGATGATAAATGTCCTGAGAGTAAAGTTAAGTAAACTCCATTTCGACGGACATCAGGTTTGTCAGAAACACCTGACTGATGTAACGCAGCAACATTGTGCTAAAAAGGGCTAAAACCCAAATCAACTGAAAAGTTTGTATGTTTACATCCCATTTGATGAACTTATTTCAAAAAGATTTTGAATAAATAACCGTAGAAATCCTGAACAAACACATGTGCTTGTTATTCATCTGCTCAATCAAACAACTTCTTTCTTATTTAATGTCACAGTGAGACTTCAGTTCAGCAGAGGTCGTCATGTTGTAAACGTCACCGACTATGATAGACTATTGTATTATATCTGTGTTAAACAGTGTATTGAGGGATGTTTCAAAAGATCACGAGAACAAGCACAGACTTGTTCATGCTTTTCTATTAAGTGAAAGTCTTAATTAACCGCAAACAACCGAACAGGGAAAGAGACACACACACAGACACACACTACACCAAGTTGTCTTTTGAAACAAGATGTAAATGAAATTGTCCCCCTATGAATCTACAGTAAGCTACCAGCTCGAACCATAGGACCACATTCCAGTGCAAACGTAAAAATACACTCACCACAGACGGGCATCTGGCTGCCAACAGTAGCTACCCAGCACTCGCTGCTCTTCAGTTCCACCACACCGCTGTGAGTGAAAGGCACCGTTTTGGAAGTTAACTCAGCTGAGTGAGTGGAGGACAATACATCCTGAGGAGAAGGGGAGGGGTGTGCGGCATGCATAAAGCAGGGGGAGCTTGGTCGAGGGGAGGTTGGGGGGAGTTGCAACCACACATGACGTCAGTGCTGCTGGGTGGGGCGCTCTGCTCTCTCCAGCTGCGGCCCACAGGGACCGGCTGACTCACATGTTCAAATAAACCACCACCTCTTAGTGTGTGAGAGTTTGCCTGCATGTTTATGTCTGCAGCTGCTTCAGACCGATGTGTCTGGTTCTTAAATGAAATGTGGAATATTGGACAGATATGTCTCCCTCTGCTGATGTGGAGGCTCTCTGACCACCACAGACTGTCTGTACACCTGTGATGACATGTTTATGGAGTTTTCTTGGCAACAACCAAAAGTTACATTACATGTAAATGCTTTTCTTTCCTGTTTTCAGCGCTGGTTCGTCTTGTGTTATCGCCACCCACTGTCGACCAGAGGAACACAGTTACAGCAGCAAAGGAGTGTGTCGCCTTGCATGGGTGCTCCAGCGCATGTGTGTCCTTGTGTGCTTGCATGACACAAACCAAACGGGGAGCGACTTCTTCCAACACCCTTTGGGTACAACAGTGCACCACTATTCTAACATGGCTCTTCATAATTAGTCCATCAAGTTGATCTATGGGTCAATGAATGATAAAGGATGACATGACATCGTTCGTGCACACTGCATGTGTGACACAAATAAACATGGGCATGCTGGTAGAAGTACACTTTAACTAACATGAAAGGCTTACTTGCTTTCATCTTTGTCACAATGTTTTATAAATATGGTGATATAAAGTTGAATATAACATTAACAAGCAGGTCTATTCTACATCATAGAAACAAACATGTCTAATTAAGTCTTTGGTACTTTACAATCTTTTAACACTAGCAGTCTGTCCACCAGCAGGTGGCAGCAAATATCTACTCTACGTCTCTAACCTGCCGTCGATAGAGAGCTGAAGGGAATGAAATTGGACCAATTAAAGCGAAAACTAAATATTTCCTCTCAACCTAAAAAAAGTTCAAAGTTGACTGAAGATGGAAATGGAGTGCAAGGAGTTGACAATTATGTCCGATATCAGGCAATAAAGAAAGTGCAGTGATGCCAAAATGTTCTCCGTGCCCTAATAAACTACTGAATATTAGAGTCAACTTGTAACTGATTGCTGTAGAAGTGGAAGCAGATCCAGAAGAAGCATGATGTGATTTTCCTCCTCTGCGTCTACAAATCAACAAGAGCATCCTCACACATCCGGAAGGCTTTGAGTATCAGGGTGGTGACCTCGTTTTGATTGTAGCGTTAGTCATTGGGATTATGTGTGGAGAAATAACCCTCAGCATCTTTGTCCAATCATGACCTCACTGCCTCTAATCTTCATCTTCAGCAACCGACCACCGACTCCAGAGCAGTGAGCCGCAGCAGGAGGTTATAATACCAGTGTCAGATCTGCGGCAGGAGGGTGCAGATTATGCTGTGCTGCAGATGGATGGTGGGGATGGTGGAGATGGTGGAGATGGTGGAGGGCTACGCTCTGCGCGCGGTGCCAAAGGGCCAAGGCGACTCACGCCAGAAAGGGGAATTTTCTGCCTGGCTGCACAGCGGCGGCGGGCTGCTAGTCACCTCGGAGCACACGGGGAGCCGGAGATAGACGACAGCCAGCTTCTTTCCCATCAACGTCAAGTCTCCGGATTTTGTCTGTGCCGACCCGGAACGCCCCGAGCACTCATCTGAGCTTTGATCCCCGGGGAGACCAGTCTGTTCTCAATAGAGTGAGGATCACAATGTGTGTGTCTGTGGAAAGACTACATATGATCAGGACCGTGGCCTCAGTATCATATCGCATGGAACATTTGTGATGGCGATAACACAAACTCTGACTTAAAGTCCTAAGAACCCAAGGCAAAACATGTCATGACACCAATCTCTGTTTAGTGACTGCCTGTTACAGATTATCCAGGGAGGTTATCGATGGGTTACTATCGGTCATTTTTTTTAAACTATGGAAAGCCATGAAATCATTCAACTGAAGTTTAAACATTTAAATAACTGAAACCACAAGTTTTTCCACATGCTCTGCCCTTGGGACTAGAATTAAACAAGCCTCAACTTATTTTAAGTGGCAAAAAAAAAAAAAAGAAGTGTGTAACAGACCCAAAAATACACTTATTTTATGTTTTAGAAAATTTAAAGTAGCAGCCTGTTTTTTAAGCCCGTTTCTGAAATGTTTTATAAGATAAAGTGCTCCAGAAATAAACCCATGTAGTAATGTATTCCTTCAATCTAAGTGAAAACACAAAAATCAGCTCAATAGAGTCTCATGTGCCAGCTATGATATGTAACAGATCTCTGAAATGTGTGCGTGT